TCACCAACATTTGAGTAGCAACCCAATTCTTGAGGTGTTAAAAATGACTTCCATGTTTTACAAATAAAGTGTTTACAGGGCTAGAGATATGGCTCTGAACATCAAAGCCCACTAAATCTTTTTACCTCCCCCTAACCCCCACTATTCTGCTCAAAAGGTTTATAGATAATTGGCTTTATGAAACCAAAGTTCTAGGAGGAGCCTACATTTATTTCTCTGTACTTTTGAAAGGGAAATATCTGGTTTTCTTCAAGAACTCTTATCTGAACCATCTCTTAAAATACAAGTGTCTGGGAGATAATCCTTATTGAAAGAAAAAACAAACTTTAGCCATTCAAGCATATCAAATCAATTTACTTTAGCTGTTAGATATTGATTGCTAAACAGGTATTAAGTTCATCTACTTTTATTACAAAAAGTTAGAAAATAGATTTGGAGCTGTTAATAAATGTTAGAAATATATCTCTTAAAAATACGAGTGTCTTTGCCAATAGAGGGGCCTATGATTTTAAAAGTTGTGAAATATATTTGCCAATCTAAAAAATGCTAATTGCTTACTTTTTACTTGTAAGTTGAAAGAATGTGTGTGGTTTTTTGATAACAGACATAAGGTATAAGTTTTTTGTTTTGTTTTGTTTCATTTTTTTTTTTTGAGGAAAATGAAGTAAATTGTTCCAAAGTTGTTGTTTTTTCTGAATGGATAAGAGGGGTTGTAAAAGTTGTAAAAAGGTTTGTGAAAGTATAGAAGGTTTGTGAAAAAAATCTTAAAAGAAAATTATATAAGTAACTGAATAATAAATTTACTAAGTAAATCAATTTAAAGAGCAAAAGTAAACATTTGATTTTAGTTCTTCTTTACATTGTTAAATGGATGAGGATTTTCCTCTTGCTTTCCAGATATAAGAAGACTTATTTTATAAAAGCAATTTGGTAAATTATTTTTCTCTCTACCTGATCCCTCCAGAACCTGGCAATTGTTAATGAGTGAGTCATGGCAATACATTTCTTTGCATGTTGAATAAGACCAGTTTCCAATTGTGGTTCTATTAACCAAAACTTTGGCTGGAATGTCACACCTGCAGAGACATGCCTGAACTCTGGATGTCACTAGAAATCTTTAAGAAATGAAAACTGATTCTAAAGCCAGTACAAGCCCTTTGGAGACATGACCTGGTGCATTGCTTGATCCTATGATTCATAATAGTCTTTCCAGGTAAGGAATGAAGGTTGTTTTCCTGAGAGATGACAAGAAAGGAACCTCAATACATCTTTGGGGACATCAAGAACCTGAGAAATTCCCCCAAATCTCTAGTATTGCAGGAAAACCTGATGACAGTTTGGAGGTTTAGCTACTTTGGCCTGAAAGGTTTTTTGAAGCTCAATAATGAGAGTCCAGAGAAGCAGACTTAAGAGACCTTATATGACCAATTGTTATTCTTGTTGTGTACATGCAAATAATCAGGACAAACTGAAACTGGACTTTATATTATATATATGAAAACCTAAGCAACCATTACAATGGAATGACTGGAACGACTGATCGCTATAATGTGCACTAACCACCAGGGGGCAGGTACTCAATACAGGAGCTCCCTTAGGGGGAGCGCCCCTCAGCCAGAAGCTGGGCTCATGGCTGGCGAGGGCAGCTGCGGTGGCAGGAGCCTCTTCCGATTCCGTTTAATATTTGTGCACTGGGCCTCTAATATAGTAAATAAATTAGTCTTAATTTGGCTCTTTGATAAAAAAAAAGTGATTGTAAGAGGGAAACTATGTTTCTATAGACTATATAATACATAATTATGAATATTAAGCTTTAATTCAAATAATTGTCTTCAAATTTTATTTTTCACCTGTGAATTGAACGGATCCTAAATATTTCTAATTTTCTTAAGTATTTGACTACCATCCTCCAAACTAACATTTTGTTTTTCTCCCAATCTTTTATTTAGAACAAAATCTTTCTCCTCCTATCAAACCATTTGTCATAATTCTTGTTATTCTAGCTTTTGCTCCAATAATGCAAAGACAGTTTATCTCCACCAGGTGACAAGCCCCACTCATACTCAGGGAATACCACCTCTAAACACCATCGCCACCGCCTTCTATGCCCAGGCCTCATCATCCCTCTGACAGAGAGCAAGGATCTCTTAACTCTGAAGAAAAATACATCTCTCTTCGGCAGGAAGCAGCTAAAGAGGAGACCCTGCACCTCTAAAATTTCCACGCTTAGAGCCCTTAGGAAGGAAGATCCAGAGTGTTCTCCCTCCCTGGAGCATGACCATGCCTGCACCTTTTCCTTTTCCCACTCCCCTCTCCACAGATCCCCTTTACCTTCCTCACTTCTAAGCTCTAAGGGCTCTTCCTTTGCCTGTATCACCTTCTTCTACAAATTGCTTCTCCTACTTTTGTGATTTTCTAAATAAATGTTCTCTTAGAGCCTTGGCTCTGAATTCTTTACTAATCAGAACTCAAGTACCTAGGTTGCTGAATCCAGGTCCTGTCTAACCCCACCAGTCTAACTCCTGGTGCCATTCTCATCACTGACAACAATGTGACAATCACAAATTGTGAAAATGTGTGACCTATTAAAGAATAGGTCATGCAACCAGGGTATATATATTTTTTTCTCCATCCTGTAGTAATAATTGAAATAATGCCTGCAGCCCCATATTGCTTTGTTTGGGGAACAGAAAAACTTGTCTCCTTCACTGTTTACCTATAAGAATTTACTTTAAGAAAAACCTGGCTTCTTTAAAAGGAGTTTGAATCCCTAACACAGTCCAAGAGATGTCATGGGGCAATTCAGGATCGTGGTCAGAAAATACACTGAAGTTGACATTTTCTAAAAACTGTAATAGAAAGTCAAAGGAAAGTGAAATGGACACTGGGGAGAGGGGACAAATGACTTTTTAAGTTTGATTGGTTTGAGGAAATGATCAAAGAGAAAAGCTAACAATAAAAAGGTGATTTCAGGTAGATTCCTCAAAGTGGTTGTCTTAAGCCCCAACTTTTCTAGCTATCTTGCAATCATGTGGTGTGTGGGTATTTTTGTTTGTTTTCTGGAGGCGAGGATGGGTAGAGTAAGAGGAGAAATCAGCTGTAGTTGCAGATAAGGCTGTTCTGTGGATGGCTTTAATTTTGCGAACACTGCTCCAGAGTTATTCTCACATTATGCCCACCTTCCCTGCCTCTGTCCACAGACACTGCTTCCCACCTGTGCTCATCTCAGAGCACATGTGGCAACTATCCCCCCAAGTGCATTGAAAATAAAACAAGTGCTTGCCCAAAGCAATCAGAGTAGTGTAGAGACAAATCCTCTCAATAAATGCGTAGTCTGGGCAATGATTTCACAAGGAATCTACTGAAATGAGTCATGTCCCTCTCCCCTTCATCCACTCCCCACCCCCCCAAAGCTCTTCATTCCTCCATTTACATTTTGGGAGGCTGGTGGGTAAATGCAGAGGGATGGCGCTTAAAAGAGAGTTCCATCCATCACTGCTGTATTGAAACAGTTTAAGAGATTTCCAGAGAAATTCTTTGAAGGCACACACATCATATAGACATACGTGTGTGTGTGTGTGTGTGTGCGTGTGTGTTTATATGGACACAGTCCATTCTACATGTATCCGTCAAAGACAGGCTGTGGATAATCACAGTCCCTTAGCCTTTTTGAGAGCATGACCAGATTTTATCAGACCCCCAGATAAGACAAGTTTCCCTGATGCACTCTGGGGTATATTTGTGGTGACTGATAGATCCTTCCCCCAACTGGTGGGCCCGGTGTGATGCAACCTGCACCTGAGGGGGACATACCAGAGCACCTAATAAGGTAACCAGGCGCCTTATATGGACTATACATTGAACCACCAATCAGCACCTGACAAATACCCTAAGCCCTTGTCCCTGAGAACCTGAGGGCCTAACCATGCAACTTATATGGACCATACATTAAGCCACCAATCAGCGCCCTCCGGATACCCTTTACGCCCCATCCCTTCCCTTTCCTCCACTCCAAAGGCGTGGTCACCTCTGCACGTGTTCCTCTTCTCCCCTTGACAGGCAGACAGGTGGGAGGTAGGTGTTTCTCCTCTAACAAGGCCTGGTTTTTCCGCCCTCCCTCTGATCTCTCCCTGACTGGCACGGGCTTAGCACAGCTTCTGAACAACAACTGCCTGCTCTGAGTCCCTTATGACAAGGGCAATTTCCCCACCTGTGGTTATTTATTTTGACCTTATAGCACCACACCCTTTCCTCACCTCACTTCTTTCCACCTGGGCTGGACCTGCTGCCTGCGCTCTGCCTCCTGCCTGTCCCTCACCCCCTGGGCACCTGTGCCAGCCTTCTGAGCACCTAGATCCGCTCTAGCAGGGGAACGAGACGGCTCAGAGCGAAGGCACATCTAACCGAAAAGCAGCTCTTTTGCTTTCTTCTGCTGCTGCTTCCCCTTCCTCTTTTCCCAAACAGATACGTAAACACATGTATTTTTTGTGTTGTTGTTTGTTTGTTTGAATTGAGCGAACTGGTTCTCTCTGTCTGTGCCTTGATTTAGCTCTTGGGCTGAGCCTTGCCCCTCCCTTCCCAGCTCGGATGGGATAGGAGCCCTTGGATCTGGAGCTCGAGCTTCCAAATTGAAGCTGGCCCCGGGCCAGGTGACCTTTCCTTTGTAAGTTTCTCCCCGAAGCGGAGCTGGGGAGCGGCGGGGAGGGGGCGCGGGGCGCTGGGATCTGTTTGGTGTTGTTGCGCGGGAGGGGGACGGTGGTGAGGGAAGGAGGGGGTGGAAGAGAGAGAGAGAGAGAGAGTCAAGGGCTGTTGTTAAACAGTTTCTTACCGTAAGAGGGAGTTCAGACCTAGATGTTTCCAGTTAATCACACAACACATTTAGCTCATTGCAATAAAAAGCCGCTCGGAGCCGAGCGGCTCTTTCAGGCGCTGAGTCGGAACGGGATCCGTCCACCCGGGCATCTGTCTCCTCCAAGTGGGACCCGCCAGCGCCCAGCGCCATGTGGGTGACCAGACTCCTGCCAGTCCTGCTGCTGCAGCAGGTCCTCCTCCACCTCCTGCTGCTCCCCATCGCCATCCCCTATGCAGGTCAGTTTTCTCTCCTTCTTCCTGTTATTATCATTTTCCCCTTCTCCGGCTAACCTCTTTTTCCCCAGCGCTCTCTGTCACCTATCCCCAGCATCCTTTCTTAGCTCAGCATGTGGTATAGGTTTTTTTTTTTTTTTTTTTTTAACTTCTCAAGGTCCTTTCTTTTGATCTACTTGCAAAGCATTTACAAGGATAATTAACATCCCCTCAGGGTGTCTCCCCACCCCACCCTCACCCCCTAGTGACCCAGCCCCTTCTCACTTAGCTTCGCTGCTGTGGGCTTGGGGGTAGGCGTGAAGTGCTAACCCTGGCTGGACCTTGGATGGTTTGGACAAGTTTGAAGTTGAACAGGAGGTCTGGTCTGTAGAGGGGAGAGTGATGGTCAGTGCAGCAGGGATTCTTTCCCCCCCCCCCTCCAGAGGATACTTTTCCGGGACCATCCATGGCCCCACATCAACTCTGTAAACACTCAGAACCAAATGATGGCTTTATGCAGGTTTATATTTGGAGAAAGGCAGATTAAACTCTGAGTATAGGCATGTGATGAAAATGAAAGAGAAAGCCTGCCTTCTAAGATCTCATTTTTTTGCCCCCCCCCCCCCCCATGGGGATGGATGCCTATCTTTTTGAAACTGCAGAGCAAGGAAGACAGGGGGGAAAAAAAATTGTGTGACTTTGATTAAAGCTGCAGAGCTTCTTTCTGCATCTCCTTTTCTGCCCTGAGTTTATAGGTTGGGAAGGAGTTGCTTGGGAGTTCCTATTGCCTGGACGTTGGGAAATGTCATTGGCTGCTTTGGGAAGTTTTCTGTAGTTATCAGGGCGAGAGGAAACATCTGCATTTGGTTGTGTTATCATTGTAGTGGCTGGGATGCCAGCCGGAGAAAGTAGTGAGCATCATGGGTGGGCACAGGGGAATAAAAGAATGGAACAAATGCCCAGATGGTAGACATGGCCTTTTTTTTTTTTTTTTTTTTTTTTTTTTTTTAATAATCCAAAACAGAGAACTGGCTGTATTTTGTAAGATAAGTTAAACAATGAAGTTCTTCAGATCTCTGCTCTAGCTCTAGATGTAATAGAAGAATTGAAAACATCAAGGATGCGCTAGGTGTTAAGAAAGCGTTCCATCCACCTGGTTTTCTTCTCGTTTGTGACTTGGTCCTTTCGGGAAACAACCCTGTGTTAGTAAGGTCCGCTTGAAAACAGGTAGGTTAGGCTTCTGAAGAGGTGAGAGAGAAGTTAGTGCCGTCACCAGTTTATCATGCTTGAGCTGTGTCATGTTAAAAATAGATTCCTTTAAGACATGGCTGGATTAGGGGAACTTCAGTATAAGTTGAAACCAGGGCTGCTATTTTGAGGGCTTTCATTTTTAAGGATTGAAGTGTTGATAAAGTCTGAAATAGACAATGGTTACCTGAAGTCATCCATGCTGATACGAAGGGAACACAGTGGGGAAAACCCAAACAGTAGATACCCCATAGACAGTGTCTCCTGGCTTTTGGCATGCATCATGACGTTTTGGCAGGAGATGTACATTCGTAATTATATTTCACTTTGGCTAATGTTGAAATGACTGCGTTTCCTGAGTGTAGAGAAAACGCAGCCTAAGAGTGTGCTGGCAGGCAAGGAGAGGCCAGTGGGGAATTACAGATATGCTGAGGATAATTCCTGAAGTGTATAATGCTCAAGTTGTCACCAGAAGAGGGTCTGCCTTTGTTTGGGTGGCAAGTTTATTTTGATAGTTGTTCTTTTTTTTTTATTTTTAAATAACATTCTTCAAAATGGAAAACATGGATAGCCCTCTTGGGACATAGAAAGAGTGTTTGTTCTTTTCAGTATCATCAATGTTGAACATTTAAAAATTTTGTTGTTGTTACTTGCTTCAGTGGGACTTAAGATTTATCTGATTGTACATATTGTAAAATCATGCAATGTTAGAGAAGAATTGGATGCTATAGTGAAATGACAACCAGTTCTGAGCAGAATACGTTATGGAGATATTTTACTGAAAAGTTTTTAAAGAAATATTCAATGCAGTGAGTCGAAGCCATGTTTAGAGAAGTTGTTGCACAGAGAATTACCCTCTATCTGTTCCTAAGGACACTGGAAACAAATATCTAATCCCTTGTAACAGCTGAAGCATTAAGTGAGCATCTAATGTGGGGGATATAAGGATGAACAAATGAGAAAGAAACCTACATTATTGAGCAACAGTTATGGTCCAAGCTCTAAAAGCGAAACTTAGTTACTTCTAATAAGATTGGCATTGTTGGATTCATCTAACATGAGAAAACTGACTTTAAGGACCTTAATTATCTTAGTGAAGGGATAGACTGGAGTGTCTTACCCAAATCTATGTGAATGAAATATATGGGATAAAAAAAATATTTATACTGAAGCCAATAATTGTGAAATCAATTGAAATTGCCTTTAAAGAACCCATTTTGCTAAGAAATATAAGAAAATATAAGAAAAACTAAGAAATATAAAAATATAAGAAATATAAGGTACCTGACAGAAACTGCATGTCAGTGTAGCTGTTTGGGTTGCTGTGTGGATGGAGAGTGGTATAGACAGAAACAGCAGAGGAAGAGACCAGGAGAATCTTCTAAGGAATGAAATGAAATGGAATGAAAGAGAGGGAAATATCTAGGGAGGCCCCTAATCTCCTACTGAACATTGCTTCATTTTGCAAATCTCTTTCGAAGAGATCATTATGCTGCTTCTCAAATAGACATGCCTGTCTATTTGATGTCTTTCTTCTTGACATCTTTATTTGTGATGCTGTTACCTTCTCTGCAAAAGGCTAGATGATGGTGATGTCCGAGTCCTAGATAATAGCAATGAAATGCTGGACCAGTATTTATGATTCTTGTCTTTGAGGCATTTAAAATCTCCTATCACAACCATTCCTTCCCATTAATTATTTGTATACTTTCATCTTAACATCTTGCCACTTCAAGCTGTTAACCACTAATCATGTGGGTAGGTTTCTCAGAATATGTACAGCCAGATTCCCTCATCTTTCCACACCCTGCAAATCCTTTCCTTGCACGATTTTCCTTTGAAGTCAATGGTTAGCCACACAGAGAAGAAAATATATGAGGTACTGAGAGAAATGAGTGTGAGGCCCAGGGACCAGGGGAAGAAATGTGTCTTTCTTCAAGCACCTTGATACATTTGACCCTACGCTCTGTGTGTAGGTTTTCACTACACTCCTAATGATTTCAGTTCTAAAACAGGGACTTCAGGTTCTTCAGCAAACACAGCTTCTACAATGTTTCCCACACTGGGAGAAGAGGAAAGAGTCATTATAATTTAAAGTACAGAAAACATGACAAAGTTGGAGTGATCTCTCACCCTTTGATTTTATTTCACTATTTTGTTTATAAACTTCAACTAACAGCCATGCACAAAATTAGTAGGGCAAAATCTGATCCAAAGATTTTTCTTTTTTTAGTTTCTTCCCAAATTAAACTTCTCTTTTAACTGTTTTCAGGAAAATAAGCATCAGTTGTTACTACATATGGATGATAATTATTTTTTTTGGATGCTGTTTTTTAATGATTTCTGTTTTGAGTTTTTCTTTTATTGAAGAAGAAATTAACTTTATAGGTGTATGGATTACATGATGTACAATTAGCTTGACCTTCACATTTTTGAGTACTTAGTTACTGACCCCGTAGAAATGGCTGAATTATAAGGGAAAGCTTCTAAGTCATGACAAATGAATAGTGGAAAGGGAATCCTGGTGTCTGGTTCTGATCGCCTCTCATTAGCTTTGTATCCCAGACAAGCCTTTCACTCCTATTTATTATCTAGTAAAGGGAAATCATGGATTTATTTGCCTTTTAGAATGCTTTTTGATTTTTCCATGAGATGTAGTGATGGAAAAACTTATCAGCAAGCAAGAGTAGACTATTTTTATGAGGTACAGCCATACATTAACACATTTCAGTAGGACAACTGAGGGGCTGTAGAATTAAACACAACCAGCAAACCCTCAGAGACTTTCTTTCTCACAGTAGTCTTCAATGCTTGCTTTCATATTACATGGTATCAAGAAAAGAAGCAGGGCATTGACCAGGGATTCTATTTTTTTTTTTAATAATTAGTAAAATACATATCTGAATTTAATATTTATCTTGGACTTTTTAAATTCCTCTCTCAGTTAGATGTGTATAATAAATACCTAATATATGAGGTCATTTGTAATTCAATATTTTCAAACAGAATTCATTTGATATATATAATTCTTCCATTTTGGTGGACAATTCTTAAAATAGATTAACTACATTTGTCTCAAAGAAATATTTCTATTTGTGTAGGAAATCAGATGACTATTATGCTGTGATATACTTCATAGCACCTGAGAAATAGTCCACTAAGGTCAAATGAAAGAAAACCTCTTAATGAAGAAACTTTCCTTCCATTAATACGGCCCTGTATTATAAACCAAATTTGAAAAGAATTGTAATATTCTTCCCCCTTGAGAGAATAAGTTTCACTCTTATGCCAGAAATTAAACAATAATATTCCAAAAACAAAACTAAAACTTTGCATATTAATAACATTATTTATCCAAATTGGTTTCCAAATATTTACTTAATGATAATAGTTTAAATAGCTCCTTTCAGTTCAACTATAATACAATTTGTATTTTTCTTAGAATGAGTAATTGGGATATTAGCATTTCAGGTAATTAAACAAAGTCGTCTGTGGAGTCCATGAGAATGCCAGAATTGTCATCTGTCTGCCAACGTTATGCAAGGCATTTGGTCCGCGTTCAATAAAAAACATGTTGATAGATTATTTCCTTGATTGAATTTTTATGTTAAAATGTCTTTTCAATTACATCTGTTGTGCCATAGCCATTTAATTTTGTAGGGCAAAGAAAAGTTAAAAAATGAAAGCATTACTACAGAAATTAATACTACTCTTTTGGGTCCCGTGTTCTGGAGTTTTACAGAGAACTAGACATTTAGAAGACTTCATGTTTTCTCTTATTTATTGTGAACTTCAGGTTAGGAAAGACATTAATGAGTAGCATCTGTCCTCTTAATAAACCAACTGGAGCCAGTGGTTGCTGGCACACTTAAGAGTACAATGCCATTCTTGGTACCTCACTCTACTAGCCATGGTTCCAAAGTTTTTAGACAAAAGTCTCCACTCTCTTTTCTTGACACATTTCATCATGTTAAAAGCCAGGAATGCATTGTCTGTTCTACTGTCCAAGTTACTTCTCTACTGATCGCTCTAATCTAAATCTTCATGAAATATTTACAAGCCATATTCTCACATTCTTTCTTAGCAATGCTAAGAGAAAAGAAGGCATCATAAGTGTTCAAGAGTGGGGGTTCTGAAGCTATGCAGCTGGGTTTTGAGTCAGATCTTCTAAGTGGTCAATTTTTCTCTGTGTCTTGGTATCTACATCTTTAAAATGAATATATTACTACTGCCTTTTTTATAGGGTGTTCAAAAGGATGGGCAGGCAGAGGAAGGCACAATCATGTCTATCCTTATTATGCAATAGCTGCAGACTCTTAGACATTTTCATCCTCATGGTGAAAATGGTCATCATCATTACAAACCAGACAACTTTAGGCAAATTGAGATTAAAGAAGCAAGTTCATGATACTCTAATGTTATTCAATAGACTACATCTTTTAGCATGTTTTAGTTCTGTTCTCAGGTTTTTAATAGGAGGATTCATGCTATCTAGGTGCCTTGTCGAGTACTTTCATGAAGAAAAATGATGTTGTTAGATTAAAGGGTGAAGCTTTACATACATTTGATTTGTAGCATTTGGATTGATTTCAAGACAAACAGTTCAGTGATACTAAGAACTTGTGCCCCCAAGCACAGAAGACACTTATATAGGAAATGAGAAGAGCTAAAATATGAATAGTATGAAATGCTTTAAAGAGCAAGTCAGAAAAATGTGTCCACTGCCCCAATTTTAGTGAGAAGTTTCTTATCTGTTATTGAATTGGCTTGTCTAATTAATACTATAACTTACATACAGACCACTTATGGAAGGAAATGACAAATTTAATTATAGAGCATGATATGATATGCCCTGGCCCTTGCTTTCATACTGTTTGGAGAATATCATGTTATTTATTTCTTTAGAGTGAACTCTGCCCTAATTTTTAAAAACATCCTTAATTTGAAAGAATGTAGATGAGTGAAGTGACTCTACATGACAAGTTATTTATTCTACACTGATTATAATATTTCTTTTTTTTCTCTTAACTATTTGAGAGTACCATTGCCCACCTCACTGAATCCCCAGCTCCTGAAGGTCTTGTATGTTGTCAGATAAAATCATTATCTTGATCCTTAAGCACTTTTTTTATGTTATCCTCAAAAACATATTCCTTATCTTTGTTTTATAATTATTATTAATAGAAGGACAGAAGAAAAGAAGAAACTCACTTCATGAATTCAAGAAGTCAGCAAAGACAACTCTATTTAAAGAAGACCCATTTCTGAAGATAAAAACAAAAAAAATGAACACTACAGACCAATGTGCTCATAGATGTATTAGGAATAAAGGTCTTCCATTTACTTGCAAGTAAGTTACTTCATTTTGTTCTTAGGATAATTTCCAAATACAATATGTACTTATTATCATCATCATATTTTTTTTTGTACTTAATATAATTTGCCCTTAAAATTATAAGCTTGGCTTTAGTGTTAAACACATTACAGCAGAAGACTGAGCTAACAGTTGATGGAAATGTGAGTAAGGAAGTACATATAAAGTTAATCCACAGTGGCTTTGGTTATGGAATTTATATATCATCATCTTATAAACAATTGAACTTTAGGAACTGAAAGGTAATTCGATTTACTTTTATCTCATGTTTAAATGTTGTTGTTTTTTTGTTTTGTTTTTTTTAAAAACCTTTAAAATATTCTATTCAGAGTAAACATTTTTTTTCTTTCAAGAGGAGTGAAGAAAATTTCAGAATATATGTTGAGCAATAGCTAAAATTTACTGTAATTTATGTCATTCATTGTCTTTAGAGATTTAAATAAAAGGTGTTGAGAGAATAGGATTAAAACTGGAGGGATTGGTGTCAGCAGCAGAGACTGTTTAGGCCAGGGTAGTGATGATGACATTTTAGATGAAAAGTGATGGGGTAATTCAGAGAGGCATGCGGCAACTCAGTGAGTTTTCCTACTTGTGAGAGTCCCTGTGTGACCTCACAGAGAATTCCTTACAACCTTGCCAGTAACCCCAGAGGATACAATTTGGAATGTTGGGCCATGAAGGTGACAATTTCCTCCTAACTGCCCAAGAAAATGTGTTTCCTAGTTCTTCTCCATAAACATTTCTCCCCTCGCTTACTTTCCTCCCTTTCATTCTCTATGTCATCCCACATGTTAAAGGATTTAGCATGACACCCTGTAAATTTTAAATTCTGCTCTATAACATTTGGGTCATGACATATAATGGAAACACAGATTTAGTAATGTCATGGCAAGTGGTCTGAATTTCATCTTGCCTTTCTCAGAGAAATGAATGTTATGGGCCTGAGGGGAAAAGACATGGTCAGAGAATAACTTCAATAGATTTAGAGGGAGGAGAGACTATCTCCTTCCTATCCATTTACAACTCCTCTGGAAGTATTTTATAGCCAAACTACCACTTTCAGGGAGATATTTCTTGGCAAGAATAGTGGGGGATTGACTTTGCAAGTATTTTCCTATGATGATTCTGCTTCTTTCCCCTGGCTTTCTGATAAAAGCCTTGAGTTAGTTAAAAATAAATTAGAGAAAACCACTCTCAATCAACATCTCAGCTGTGTAGATTTATGGAGATGTTCTTCTGGCAACTGAGGAGGTTGGATTTACTGTATTTTCCCCTCTTGGGGTTGGAAATGCAGGGCAGAGAGAATTAGAGAACCACAATCATTGTTGGTTTTTAACTCTAAATCTGACAATACACTCTCCTGGATCCACAAGTAAGGAAAATATTGCCACCTTTCAATTTTCACATTCATCAGCCTTGTGCCTATTAAAACCAAACCAAAACAAAACAAAAAACCTTTTCCTTTGTATTATATAGTAGAAACGAAAATGAATTTGGTTCATTGGAGAGCACATGTGACCTGATTAATATATCTTTACATACCCCCTGTATATGCGGTTTCACATTTTCCTACTATATTATGGTTGATTTAAATTTAGTCTCCAAATTTATGGCAATCTGTACAGAAAATCACATGTTATAAAACCCATGGACAGCCCAAGTTTTCCTGTCTAGAAATTGTATCATCCTTCTCATTTATCTATACCAATATGTGTTATACATACTTGTTTGGAACCACTAGATACATTAGTTATTCAGAATTAACTATACATACACACACACACACACACACACACACACACACACACACACACATATATATATATATATATATATATATATATATATATAAACTGTGATACTCTGAAATTAGGTTCTTAATGAAGTAAATGGTATTTTTGCCAACTTGTTATATGGACTAGAATCATTGGCAAACAAGGGCAAATATAGGAAAATGTTTGGAAAATACCAGCAAAGCTGTGTGAAAGCATCTGGGCTTGACTGGGCATGGGGTGGAACATTTGTCAAACACTCTTTTCTCTTGAGAAGGGATCAACAAAAATTGGTTGTGTAGAGCTTGAAATTTTCCTTTGCTGGGAAGGAAAGCTAACCAGAGTGCCTGAGTCTAAGGTCTTCAGAGAATTGCTGTTCAGCAATTGGCTCAAGGGAAGAAAACGGGAGGCTTTCCTCTTCCAGCCAAGACGGAGTTACTCTTACTGGAATTGCCCTCCTGCCATGGCCAACTAGGAAGCTAGACAAAATAAATTCTTGAAATGAAGATGATAATTAAAATAAGGCTAAGATAAAGACTCCTAAAGTCTTAAAGATAAAATTAGCCAATTTTACCTTATCAAGATATTCTGCCACTGCTACAAAACTAATACTTTGATGATCTGCTTTTAATTACTATGTCAGCTGTAAAATGTTTTATAGGTAGATATTTAAAAATACAAAGCACTTAAGTTTGTGAATATGTTTTGAAGTTATGGATATAGAATGAAATGTAGTAAGTATATAAAATAATAAGTAAAATATTTTTAAAATTTTATGGCATTTTTATATTTGTTTTATAAAAAAGTATTTCCCCTTATTGATATTATTTCTTAGTTGTCAAAATACTAAGAAATGAATGTTTGCAGTTGGTGGCATCATAAGTAGCATAGTAAGGAATTTTAATACCATTTCTTAATGGGAAGGAAACACTTCAGAATTCCAACACCAGTTCTTATGTAGAAAATGTTATCAAATACTTTACTATTTATAGTTAAGAGATTTTTGCATTTATAATTTTAGTTTAGAAAGACTTTATATTGCCCTCCTTGGTTTAACCATGTGCCCAATCTTTAAAAACTGTATAAATAGTGGTATTCCTTCTTTTCATTCAGATATTTTTTTCAGGGCCTTTGTTTTTGATAAAGCAAGAAAACGATGCATCTGGTTCCCTTTCAATAGCATGTCAACTGGAGTGAAAAAACAGTTTTGCCATGAATGCGACCTCTATGAAAACAAAGGTAACTGGCCACTTGCTAAATATTCATAATGAAATCAAGTATAAAAATATGTAAATTCCTGCCACAGTTCTCTTTCCCATGGGTTTTTATGTTATATACTGGATCTGTTATACATCTATAACATTTCTTAATGGGAAGGAAACACTTCAGAATTCCAACACCAGATCTTATGTAGAAAATGTTATCAAATACTTTACTATTTATAGTTAAGAGATTTTTGCATTTATAATTTTAGTTTAGAAAGACTTTATATTGCCCTCCTTGGTTAAACCATGTGCCCAATCTATACATCTATAACAGATACATCTATAAATGTTAATTCATTTATAAAGACAGATGACACTAGAGACTTGACAATAGAATGACACTTTTGATTACAGAGATCATTTTCCAAATGTCCCATAATTAGATGACCTCTACTCAGTTTATTTCTAGGAGCCTCTCATAGAACTGGTAGTCTCCATGTCATTTTGGACAATGCCACCTTAAGCTATTAGTTTAAGACATTTTACATTATAGCAAATTTGGGTAGTACTATAGTATTTTAAATTTAACAACTTTAAATATCTAAGTTGTAGTGCTAATTGCTAATAATAAAAAAGTGGAGATATTGAAAAAATAGTTGGATCTATTAGTTGGATCTATTTCTAATTATTATGTTCTTTAAAACATTAAAAAATATATACATATGTATTTATTGATTTCAGAAAGGAAAGGAGAGAAAGATAGAAACATCAATAATGAGAGGGAATTATTGATTGGCTGCCTCCTATACACCCCCCACTGGGGATGGAACCCACAACCCAGGCATGTGCCCCAGCTGAGAATTGAAGCTTCATCTCTTGGTTCATAGGTTGACACTTAACCACTGAGCACACTGGCCAGGCTAAAAATACTTTTTTAAAGAATTGAGACAAAAATATTTGTTAATTTGTCTATTTTAGTATTCTGATATTATATTCACAGGGTGTTTACTTTGTAAAACACATAATTATATCAAATAATTGAAGAATGTTAAATAAATATGAATATGAGAAGATAAATCTTTCATCAAAAGAAATAGTTATGGATTGTATTTGTAATTGCATTAATTTTAATGCTTTCTTCAATAATATTGTCTTATTAATTTAGGCATTTGGTAATATACACAGATATTTTCTTATAATATGGTATATGTCTAAATTAAGATTGGTTCATGATAGAAAATAAGATGATCTTTATACACCTCAATAATTCTACAAATCCTAAATATAATTCATACTCTAGTATAAGACCATCTTCAACTAACAACTGTATTGTAGTTGATATTGTTTGATGGAAATATTTAGCATGTTTCAATTTGATTGCCCTGCAATTTAGCAGTAGAAATATTAGAAAAAATATGGAAAAAAATCAAAACAATATAATTATCTCTCTCTCACACACAGACACATACACATATATACAAAACCCACACCATTTTACTGAAAGAAAAATTAGTTATTTTTATTATTTAAAGTAACTTTCTGAATTCAATATAAGTTTTATAAATCCATTAATTTTCATTTTTAATATTTTCTTAAAAATAAACATTTTTAATATTTCTGCCAAATTAAGTTTGTCTGGCCAATTGAGTGTAGAGACTATGTTAAATACACAGACTTACACGTTCAGTTATCCAAGTATATGCTCACAAAATTAAAACTTCTCAATGGGCTTTTTTGTTGTTGTTTTGTATTATTCTGAAATGTATTATTTTGAAAATATTAGAAGAAGCTTTAGGCAAGACATTTCAATATGATATGAAAAACAGTGGTTTACAAGTGGTAATTACTTTAAAAAGTTTGAATGGAAGTTTCTTTTACTTTTAGATATATACCGCATGTTACTCACAGTTACAGCGTCTTTCTCTGTTTCTTCTGATAGACTATATTAGAAACTGCATCATTGGTAAAGGAGGTAGCTACAAGGGAACAGTATCTATCACTAAGAGTGGCATCAAATGCCAGCCCTGGAATTCCATGATACCCCACGAGCACAGGTAAGAACAGCATGAAGAAGAGAGGATAAGCCTTTTTTAAAATTTTTTGATTATGTGTGTTAGTCCTTCAGAATAATTCTATAGTTCTATAATAACTTAGACAACCTTTCTAAATTATATTAGGCCAAGGATTATGTGAATCCATGACTGGTATTTAGACAAAGATGAACAAATTTATCGTTCAGATATGGCCTAAGGGCATCCTACCTCAAAACTTCAATTTATAGATCTTAGTGTTTGTGAAAAAATAATGGGAACATAATTTTTCCTCCCTTCGCCTTCAAGAAGGTTCCGCATTGTGTAGCTGGAGGTATAAGTTAGAGATGGGTCATATTCTGACCTTAGCCAGGCCAAATGTTCTTAAACCATTGAGGTTCTCAATCTCGGCTGCACATTAACATCACCTGCTAGAAGCCCATAATAAATCCTGCCACCCAGGAATCAGCATAGACCCATTCAATCAACATTTCTTGGGGAAATAACCCATGCATCATCATTAAAAAAAATGCTCACCAGATGATTCCAAAGTACAGTCAAAACTGAGAAAGTCTGCTAAAAACTCATGCCTCTGACCAGCTTTCCCATTTTACCTACTGTGCAATGACTAAAACAAACAGAACACAACTTTCTCATTTCTTGGGAATTAAATGTCTACACTTAAAATTGTGTTCATTACGAGATGATTGCTATTTAAAGATGAGTAAACATAGTAGCTATAGGCTCATTAGTCCGAAAGTGTGAATCGTAACAGAGGAGAAACGTAGATATCTACTGCCCACTAGAGAACTATATTTAACCAGTTTTCAAGGTTTATTTTACAAATAATTTTAACTGGAACTAAAGTCGTTGAAAAACAGCTCTTCCTGGTTATTAGATGCATTAGAAGATTTAGATTACCATGTGCCAGTTACCTTGCTGAACAGTATACCGGGTCTGTCTCCTTTAGTCTTTCCAAGAAACACATAGTGGATGGCTTTATTAATTCCGTTTTATATAGGGGGAAGCTGAAGCACAAAGAGCCATAGTAACTTTTCAAGGTCATTCACACCTAGTCAGTGGGATCGCCAGAATCTGAGTTCTGCTTTTAACAAGCCCAGGGCATCATACTCTTAGCAGGTCAGTAGGACACCTGCTGTCACTTGTTTTTGCAATAGTGAAGATAACTTTGTCTCAATGAATCCACTTTTTATCCCATTCCATTGATTTTTTTGGAGGGTATAATTATGGAAGATGATTTCACCTCAGTAAACAAAGATGAGGTAATTGGCCCATCTACAAAGAAAAAGAGTTTGTTGCTTCACATTGGGATCAAACTAAAGATCTCAGCCTAATGAACAGCAGCTAATAAGTGTCCAAACTGATCAGCTTTCCAGTGTCTCAGTAACAAAAAACAACTAATTTTTCAGGTTATTGATTTTTTAATTTTAAATTTATTTTCTAACTTTATTGTTATCGTTGACACTATGACAGATGTCCCCGTTACCCCTCCTCCCCCTTGTCCACCTCCACCCGGCCCCCACTCCCCCTTTCCTCTGGCTATCACCACACTGTTGTCTGTGTCCATGGGTTATGCCTATATGTTCTTTGGCTAATCCCTTCACCTTCTTTCATCCAGCCTCTCCCTCCTCCCTCCTCTCTGACAGCTATCAGTCTGTCCCTTGTAACCATGCCTCTGTTTCTACTTTGTTGGTCAGCTTATTTTGATCCACACATAAGGGGATCATATTCATTTTTAATTATACACAGATATCTATGAAATATAGAATTGTTCTTATATTAAAAAAAACACACCAAACAAATAATTTGTTTTGTCCTCTCATGGTATGTGGATGGTGTCATTCCCAGGATAGTACGGAAAACATCTTCTTTAAATACATAGATCTATGCTTTTCATGAACAAATGAATAGCATTTGAAACCAATCTAGCATTAGTTAAGGAGAGTGCACTGGACTGACCCAGTAGAGGTCTTATTTCAACCCAATTTCTCTATGATTGTGATTCTCTGCGAGAGGAGTAAATGTGAAATAGATCTCCCTGGGAACAGGCTTTCCAGTCCAATCAGCTATTTTTCCAACAAGCGTTTCCTTGAGTCTAGGGCTGAGAAGATCTTGTACATTAATCAAAATTTTAAAAAATTCAGTGGGAGCAACACTTAATTATCATCAATTATCAGCTTATTGAAAAATCAACACGATTGCTTAATACTCTTAAGTGTTAACTAATGATTAACTTCATGGGGAATGGAAAAAGAAATATATACATGTCTTTGTCTAGAGGAATGATTTGTTGTTGACTCCCTAAATTGAAATATTTTACAAGTGGCTTAATGGGAAGATGATGATAGATGATGAAATTAGTATAGAAACTTAACCAGAAAATCAGGTGACCTGATATCTACACCTCTATCTTTCATTGGCCACCCAGCATTCATTAATAAAGCAGATGATGGAATAGATCAAGTTTCCTATGAACACCATTTATATTAAAATAAAAGAAAAGGTGACTAGCTCCAGAAGATCTAATTTATATTCCAAAGTATCTTTAAATATAACTCAATTTTAAGTATTTCTTTACTTATCTCTCTTAAAGCCTTGCCAACAAGAACAAAGAACCAATAATAGTATATATGTAAATAAAAGTTTATTACAAATTTTGTTGACTGGCATTTGGATTTGGTGTAAGAGGTTTTCATAAACATTTGTTGAATGAACACAAATAAGTGAAAAGAGAGAGACTAGACTTCACCCCTCAGTGAGATACAGGCTGCTAAAGAAAATCATGCTAACACTACAAAGCACAAAGGAAAACCAGTAAAAAGCCATATATGCCAAAGAATGAAGAGCAGAGATGACTGGTGTTCTGGTTACCTTGCATGTCTTAAATAGGAATTCTATATGAATTGATAAAGAATTATGAAAAGAAGCATATTTTTTCTCTTCATTTCTCATTTTGTTAACTCTAGTGTGGCTAGTTTATTCATTTTTCAGCCACTTTTAGATTTGATTTACACTTTATCTCCCTTTCTACTTGTATTTTTCCTACTAAGTTGTTTATTCATTAACTACTTCTTCACAGCTTATTTTTTGCTTTAAAAATCCACTGGAAAGATATGTGTGTATATATATTTGTGTGTGTGTATGTGTGTGTGTGTATAATAAAAATATTCTCTAAAGCTATATAATTAATGTGTTCATTTAACATGTGCTAAATCCATTATTTAGTTTCATAAGTAAACTGAGTATGTAAAATGATACAAAATGAAGGAATTCATAATAATCTAATTCACTCCATTCATTTTATACATCTGGAGGTTGAAAACCCCCAAATTATATAAGTAATCTAAGAACTGGTGTCATATATGGCAGCAATGTAGATTTTGTTATTAATAATAACTTATTCTTACTACTGTACTATACTAAGCTTTTCCATAAAATAGAGTGATAAAAGAATTTTCTAAGGTAAATTTGATTAATACATTACCTTATGAAAAATAGTAAAATCAGTTTTGAATCTATTAGAACAATAGTGTTTCATTATAAAGTTACTATCAAATATTGGAGAACTGACAAAAATGAAAGAAAATAAATTTCAAGCAATGGCATATACAAAAAGCATACTAAATTATTCTGGAATAATAAGACAAAGGATGACTAATTTTTCCTTTGAAAATGAAAACTGTTAGAAAATTGTGACATCATATGAGCTTTAATTGTTCATTCAATTGTTTAATTTTTACTTCCACAGAGTAAAGACTACTAAGTGGAATATGCTTAATAATAGCATTTATTGTCAATTACTCTGTCATCCTTACAAGTTCTCAAAACAACCATATACTGTGTAAGATATGATAACACAGTATACTGTGTTATAAGTTATGGTTATATCCATTGTACAGGTAAGCAAATAGGCTGAGAAGTCAAATTACCTGCTGGGTCTCCAGTTAGTTAGTGAGAGAGTTGAAATTTGAGTCCAGGTTTAATTTGATTCTAGACCCTTTGTTCCTGTTACTTCATCAGGCTGTTTCTCAGTTGCTCAGAAAATAGGAGGAACATTCTTCATAATAAAAGCAACAAATAACAAGCAATTATGTGGGATAAGCAGTGTAACTGAGATTTCAAGGTCAATTGCAGTGTTTCCTCAGTTCTCTCCTTAGTGGCTTTGCTCAATCACTTGCTACCTTTGAATGGAGCTTTGAAATTGTGGTACAAACAAGGTCACTAGGTTCTTAAATGTTTGGCTCTTGGAAAATCCAGCCATGAATGTTGAACATGTGAACTGTTAGCTAAGTGTTTTTATAAAACTTAAGCGTTTTAAGAATGGATGAAAATAACAATTAAAGTTGATATACAGGATGGGGCAGTAGTAGGTGTACAGTTGTCCATATGGAAAAACAATACATAATTAATAAATGATAATACAGGAATAAACTCTGTGTTTTGCATGCTCACAAACTGTAAGCCTACTTCCGCCCCACCCTGTAGATGGAGGTCTGAGTTAGAATAAATGTTTTTCCACTTTCAGGGAAAACATACCCACTGATTAGTAAATTTAATAGGCCCACAGTAAAGTTGCATGCGCTTATACTGTAATGATTATCATTTTAAAACTAGCTTTTTGCCTTCGAGCTATCGGGGTAAAGACCTACAGGAAAACTACTGTCGAAATCCTCGAGGGGAAGAAGGGGGACCGTGGTGTTTCACAAGCAATCCAGAGGTACGCTACGAAGTCTGTGACATTCCTCAGTGTTCAGAAGGTAAATGAGCCTGAATGCCCCGTGGGGCCCTCTGCTCCTCCTTTGTGTAGATCTGCAGCTCGCGCGGAAGGTTAACAAAAACAAACCGCATCGCAGTGAACATGCTGTTTATTCAAACCCAGCCATAGAGAATTAACTGAGCATTTTATACCCAGTTTTAAAACCTGATCATCACCAGGTGAATGCAGAATAAGAAAGCCCGTTATCAGCTTGTGCGTTTAATAGAGCCTGAGGCATCCTTCTGGGGGAGAGTGTAAGTTTGGACTTTTTCATTAACTGGGTGGAGCTCATATGCCTCCAAGTCTGTCTCCATACATCATCTGAAAGGAACCGAAGGAAACTTAGCTCTTTATGAGCAGAGCTGATTCTCTGTTCATCAAACGCCTGCTGCCACAGCAGCAGTGCAGCAAGGGTATATGAACCCAATAGGGCATAGGGGAGGGGATCACTGGAACTGGACACACCTGTGGGCATTTTGGTGCAAATGTGACTAGAACAAATCTAACACATAGACTGGAACACTAGTCAGAAGAGTATCTGGAGAGATCAAGGCTGTCTTGAAGGCAGGCACCCTAAATCCATGTCTATGTTTTTACCTCCTCTCACTTCATAAGAGGGGCCCTGTGCTTGCTTTGGCAGAGGAAAACTGAATGACTGGCGAGAAGGAAGAGTAACCATTTCAGCATTGTATGCGGTTTATTTTTCTTAGTTATCTGGCTACCGAATAACTGTTCTGTCAGAACCTAAAATTCTGAAAACCCACATGAAACATGGATTTCATTCTGATAGAAATTTAGTAGGATTTCAAAAGTTCTTAGGGGTGGGGGGTGTTTGCTGAAATACTGTCCAGTTTTTATGGTAAGTTATCTTACCTATTTGTTAATGAACCAATTTTTTAAAGACATTTTCCCATAAATATCAATCTAATGTTAGGTTGGTAGCATCACATAAAAAAATCATTGTTAGTTAATTGTCACAGAGAAGGTGGATTTGTGTTCTGTTGTTAGTTAATTTAAAATTGACGTCATGTGTCAGTTCTATCTCTGTTTGTAAATCCTTACTTTTCATTCAGTCCATATCGTATTCTGTTCACTATAACTACTTCATCATTGTTTTCTTTTCTTTTAAAAATAATAAACTGATCTGTGACAACATGATGAACAAGTCTGTTTTGTATGAATAAGTCTGTCATCAATGTTTGCCTTAAATTTACACCTGGAAGAAAAAAAACGTGCTTTTGGGAAACTCTCCATTATCACCATTTTCTGAGGTTGACAATCATTGTAAGGAGTTTTGTAATCGATTTTGTTTGATCTTGGAAAGTGTTTTCAAGGAAAGGTAACATGGTTACACTGTAAACAGTTTAGCACTTATGTTACCTGCCTAGTCTGTATGAGAACATAACTTTTCAACCGCTGGTTTATAAGAGAAACATTCATCAAAATACACTGGCATAGATCTGAACTGAGAGTTAATGTAGAACAAACATGCTAGTAGATAAGTAATTATAAAAGTCCTCTTTCCAGTTACTCTTATGTCATTAGATTATATATCTCTAACATCCTTTAATCATTCCAGGTCATTGGAAAAGGGCATTGCTCATTAATATAATGGTGCGTGAGGCTGATGGTTACAATGGCACCAAAGGTTGCAGATATGCTTTTTCTGGAAACAATTAGAAATCTGACAATAGTAGAAAAACTCTCCCGTGAGAGAAGGAAACCAACACCTACCTGCCCTATAGGCTAAACATATCTCAGGGAGTGTGAACTGAGTTGAGTTGTGATGTTTAAGTTCATTCTATAATGAACAATGTTTTAGTGGGATTTTAATAAAGAGGATCTAAAATAAGAAGCACTATCAATACATCAATAAAGAAAAACAACTCTTTATAAAAGAATAAAATACTCAAAATAATGTACATATGATGTTCATTTATATGATATTAAGATACATTTATAAGGGAAAAACCTCAAAATCTAGAATACTTAATATCATCAGTGAGCCATTTTTATCTATGTATATTTATTTGTTAAATGGCAATTTCCAAAGGTTACATCATTCTGGATGAGGTAGTAATAATAAAATAGTTGTGGATATTTAAAATTAAGCAAGAAAAATGCCTCAAGTCAAACTTCAAACTGTTCTTTCAGAAAATACATGAAGAACAGTATATATTTTTTGAAATATTTGTAACGAACTTTTGACTAAATATTCATCTGAAATTTTTCAGAAAGTTTGGTTCATAATATATATCTGATGTCTGATGGTTAACATTTTCTTATAATCTAAAACTTTGAAATATATTTATATTAAAATAAATATATTTTAGTAGAAATGCCAATCTTTGGTTCAATCTTTGTAAAATCTAATTTCTTGTTTTAACATTTGCTTGGGATTTAAAATAAAGCCAACACTAGTCATTGGAACAGATGTCTTTTTAATGATTGTCAGATATCCGAGTAAATACATTTTAAGCCATAATCATTATTTTTTAATGTCTCACACATAATATCCCAAATAATACTGTGTGTTAAATTCATACTCTGCATGGAGAAAGACTTTAAAAAGCAAATATTTAAATAAAACTATTATCTATATATGTGGATTTGTGAGACTATCCATATTTTAAACATTCAGTTTTTCTGAAATAATCACCAGCATGGAATTTTCTATGAAATACTTTTGAAATATCTCTTTTAGTCTGTAAACTCAGCTCGCTGTGATTTTAGGATTGAGAAAAATGGAACACAATATTTTTGAGTTACTTAGCTAATATGGTGAGAAAGATGTTAAGTCACTCCTACTTATGTTACAATTATATGTCATTTTATAGTTTTCTACTACTACTTAAGTCAAAACTATATTCCAAAAGAACATTTTACTTATGAATAGAAATATTTATTTAGTTTGCATTTATGTGATCTGGATTAGTAGTATTTTACTTTTTTGTACTTTTTGTTTGTTTGTACTGTCACCACAGTAAAAAGAGAGAAAAAAATAGAGCAGGAGGGCAATCCTCACCCTCTTGTACTCTTAAATTATGTTTTCATCTGGTTCCTTGAGTAGGTAGACTTAGTTTCTACCTGTCCTACCTATCCTGCTTAACTTTGAGCTACAAAAACTTAGAAGAGTCTTAGAATTCTAGAAGTTTGAGAAGTGACTGTAAGCTTAAAGACTGGCTTTCTTGAGGTATTTTTTAAAGACTAACCTGATGGTTTGATACAGTGGTAAAACAATAAACCTTGGAAAAGATGGCCAACCTACTTGCTTTCCTAGAGCCTCCTTTTCCACATGCCTCAATAGGTGGAAATCCAACAGGAGGACAACCTACTGTTATAAACAGGAGAGCAAAAGGTAATTGGGACAATGTTGAAAAAGTCAGGGAGGTTGACTTTTTAAAATTATTGTTATCAGTCTATCTTAAAGTATGACTAGTTAGAATGTATAGGGAGTGGACACATTAAAATATGTAGGACACAAGCAATGAGGGAGAATGGAAAGAACACTGGACTATTATGGGTCAGAAGACCTGTGTTCCCAGCACAAGTTTGACATTTTCTGTTTTAGGTAAGTCCTTTAAGATTTTGTGAGTTCTTTCCTCCTACATAGATCAGATGATTTCTTATACATTAAAAGTACTGAATAATCAAAGAATATGTAATGATAATATATTTAGCATCTTCTCTTCTATCACCATAACACATTTATTGACTTCCAAAATCTAACATTATTCTTGTTAACTTTTATTATTTTAAAAAAATCTCACTAGGTCTGAAACTGCATCCATAAGTATCTCTTTGCTTTACTACAAACATAGCATGCTAATTCATGTTTCTATACCATTTTATGGTATTTTGCCCCTTTTTTAGCTTAGCCAACTCTCATCCATCCTTCAAAGGACCAGGTAAAATCCACTCTCTTCTAACAAGCTATTACTGACAAACACTTAGAACTTTTAGAATAGGACAAATTATCTACAAACTCGCTATTCATCATGAGATCCAAGTACCAGAAGCAGCGGCATCTGCTGGGGAGATCCCCACTCCCAAAACTCTTTATAAGAACTTGACCTTTAAAAAATATCTCTAAGTGACTTTTTACGCACATTCATGCTTAGAGAAGCACTGGTCTACCACACTTATTCTAGAAAGTGGTCGTAAGAAAATCAAAAATCCTAAAGTCCCCAGGAAAAATGTTTTATATTAATCCCCATGGTACAGCTTCCTAGATAATAACTTTATGCGCTCGCATGCAAGGGATATACTCTTATAAATTGCATTTGCTGAAGAAGACAAAATGGATATATTTTAATTCTTTGAGTATTATATAAGGTTAGAAATTGAGTATGTGGACCCTTATCTCTTATGTCTGACCATAGTATTTTATTCTGTTTTCTCATTGAATTGCATTCAGTTTTTCATTAAATGTTATTCATTACAAAGGAGCAGACAACAATAACTGTCACATCATTTTCTATGATGATATCAAACCTTGTCTTTTTTTTAAGAAAGGGAACTAAGTCAATCTGTACCACATTCAAATGGAAAGCTCTTATGTGATCAGGCATCACTTATGTTGAGCATTTCAATGTTGAAGTGACCTTGCCCAAACAGAGAACCTTTATCAATATGCTCTTGGACCCCTGAAATGTATAGAGCGCAAGCTCATGAACTGTAGTCTGGGAATCTCAGGACCAAATGAGAGAAAGCTGAATTGTCCTTGTCTTAGTTCATAGATTAAACTACATGAAAAGTAGATGGATCAAGCTAAACTGTCTCATATTTCTGAAAGTTAACAGTTAATGTCCTATTAGATTATACAAACCAAAGGTTCAAAGTGATCTTTCTGATATTATACTCCAAATTATTACAAATGCTAAGTAAGCTAGATCTTGGTAGGTAACATTAAACATTAACCTCTTTGCTCCCTTTCAGCTAAAGTTAGATGATCAGTAATCACAAGATACAAATGATGTGTTTGGGGAAGTTTGCCTGATCCGTAGGAAAGCCAAGCAATGATTTATTCCACAGGTTGCCTGCTGGACTACAAATCAACCTGTCCATTTGAGAAGTATCTTTTTCAGAGAGTTGGGGTGATTCAGGGTTTTTAGTGTGATATAAGAGGCCAGCCAGAAGAGAACTATTAATTAAACACATAGAATCATCAGTAAGATTCTGCATAACTCAGTCAACTTATACTTTTTAAAAACAGTGAGTACAAGGAGTTCAATAGTAGGTCAACTTCAATCCTAAACTAGATAAGAATAAAGCCTACCCCATTATTCAACATGGATATTTGCTAATAGAAAAGAGCTATGCTTTCTTCTTTTAAAATATTCTTTGAATAGTAGCAGATTTCTATTCCAAGCTGGTCTCTACAACCTGCCTCATCCCTATTTGGGCATTGCCCATAGGAGTAAGGTGTATACTCATTTCCTGTGCATGTAATTGGAGGTTCCACTGACAGAGTGGCTTTATTGTACTAACAGTATAACTACTGAGATCCCTTGCAGTTTAGACAAACCAAGAGGAAAACCCCAAGGCTCTGTCTGATATTTCCAGTTTCTGAGAACCTTTGGACAGTTATTGGAAAATTAGAAAGGTAATTTCCTGGCCCTGTGGTAAATCTATATGACACTGAGTACAAAAATCTCATTTTAGCTGTATGAAAACCTCTTGAAGGAGTATTTTATGTCATTCTTTTTGGACATCAGGCCATAATTTAAAGTGAAAATATGTGAGTTTTTCTAGAAATCTCTTTGTGCAACAGATGATTTACTGTTCTTTAAGTGGAACAGCTGTGTTTTTGATTTTTCTGTCAGAAGCAATTAACATGCCATGCTTTAATTTTATTAGTAGAATGCATGACCTGCAATGGGGAAAGTTATCGAGGTCCTATGGATCATACGGAATCAGGCAAGATCTGTCAGCGCTGGGATCATCAGAAGCCACATCGGCACAAATTCGTGCCAGAAAGGTAAAATACCACCAACCGTGCTACCAGTGATTCTTTTCTCAAGGGGTTATTTGCTCCCTGACAAACTGGAATGGAAATTCTCTTTACACAATGTTTTCTGGAAAGTGTTGGGCAAAGCGGTTTAGGATGAGGTGTGTGAGTGCTGTGTACACCTGCAGTTGGTCTTGGTTGACTAGATTCCAATTCCCATGCTTCTTCTCTGGATGGTCCTGAGGAGCATCTGTGGAGTGTGAAAGGGAAGAACCAACAGAAATTCCCTCTTTCTCTCTCCCAGCTAAAAAAGACAAAGGGACACTCAATAGTGACCTCTATGATCAACCTGAGCTCTGAGAGGAAGAATTATTGCTAAATATAGGCCAGCCTCCTTTTAGGGCCACATCTTCAGGGAGTTGGGTAACATGGCTCCCACGTGTGACCACATGACAGAGTCCTGCCCAGGCAAAGGGAATGGGAAGTAGAGCCAGTGATCCTTTGGCTGCTTTATGCTGCTGTATTTTGAAATTGTCAGTCTGGGAAAGTCAGGTAACCAAGTCTACTTTCTCCTCAGAAGTAGGTTTTGAACTTAAATGGTTAAAAGAAATATCTATGTTGGCCCATTCATTTCACATGAAACATTTGTTGAAAAAAAAAAAAAAGACTTGTTTTTATTATAAAGATTAAAAATACAGATAATAACTTCAGAGAAAGTTTTACCCCTATCTTTGTTTAGGAATGTGTTTTTAGAAAAGTGTTTTTTCTTCTTTATATTTTTATGTATTGTTCTTCTAAATGAGGTGAAAACTGCTTTATTTTTCAGTGCATCTCTAGTCCTTCAAGTGAGAGCAGAAGGGACATGGTAGCAATTAAAATCAAGTCACCAACGCAGGCCCCAGTTAATTGAAAGGGAGGGGGGTCGGGAGAAAGGGGTGTGATGGAATTTGTCTCTTGCTCCAGGGGAGGTGAGGGCATGACCTAGAAAGGCTCTGGTTCCAGAATTGACCTATCATTAGTAACAGCTCTTGAATCCTACCTTTATTTTAAACTTAAAGCCTGCCATGGAATTAGACCTATTTTTTTTTTAATGAGTATTTTACACGAGGTCATGCTTATGCAATCTGTTATTAACTGGGCTTTATGAAAAGAGGTTTAGGTTTTGGACCTCAAACGGTAGACAGGTACCCAATGGACTTAACTTATTAGTAAAGGTGATGGTACTCTATACGGGTGGAAGATGTAAGTTAATAGATTCAACAGTCCATGATTAACAGTCCTTGTAAGTTAAAACACAGAGATTCTCCCCCACCCCACAATCCTCAGCTAGCTGTATCTGAGCTGAATCAGAAGTTATTTTGTGAGCTGGGGGCTGGGAGGTGTTTCCAGGCAGATTTACGTGACACTTTTGTTGGTGTGGTTTGCAGATATCCCGACAAGGGCTTTGATGATAATTATTGCCGCAATCCTGATGGCAAGCCGAGGCCATGGTGCTATACTCTTGACCCTGACACCCGTTGGGAGTACTGTGCAATTAAAATGTGTGGTAAGTTAGGGTCAAATTTATTGCTTCCTTTTCCTCCCACAGATTGAATCGAAGCAGGTGATTATTAGTGAGACAGGTTAACAACTATTTTACTTGATGCTTTAATGTGTGTAGGTTTTAATATTTTAAAAACATGTTACATAACCCTACCCAATCCGTTATTTTGTGAGAAATATGCAACTGCACACATACACACAAAACATTTGTACATGTCAAAAGGCCTAACCATTCTCATGTCATCAAGGGGAAAAAAAATCCACAGAAGGGGAAAAGATCAGAGATTATATGCAGTGTCGTAATGTCATTAGACTGTAAAAGCTAGGACCTGAGACTCTTACCTTCCCATACTGTATTCTTTCCTCCCCAGACGTTACATTGGCTGTCAGCTCCCTGTGAACCTCCTCTGGTGAATGACAGAAGCTGCAATGATGAATAATAAATCTTTAATCTCTGGGAGCTGGTCCCCAAGGTTGTCCTTGTACGCAACCTGCATTCTCTTTCAACCTCTTTCAGTAGTTCTACAGTTCTTTTCTACACACTGTCCTTTACCCACTCCCACTCTCTGAATTTATGGTAAACAGTTTCTTTTTCTCACTTGCTTTGTGGTATCTGTATGTTTGGCCCTCTCCTTAATGGTTCATTCACATCATTTTTACTCTTTTCTAAAATAATACTAATGAATAATAATTAGATATAGATATGCTTTTATTTCTATGAGTACAGGTGGGTCTTATTTTTTTTTTTCCAGCTGCATTCTAAAAGGCTTTAAGACCAGTAGAATTGCATAAGTTTAGTAAGATGTAATAAAGATATAATTGACTTGATATTATAAAACAGATGGGGATAGTCCTTTGAACAAACCTAATTCGGTGTTATCCACAGTATGATACTGCCAAGGTAAATCTCTCTTCACTTAGACCTGCTAATAAAAGGAAGTGTTTTGGACAAAACAAAGCCCATAGAAAGGGGCCATGTCTGGATGAAGTAAGTGCAGAATCTGGAGGCTCTCAATGTGAACACAGTGTTCCAAGGAAATTTAGTCATCTGCTCAGTCCTTTAAAATAAAAGACTACTCCTGTGACAGTTTTTCTCTATATAGATTGCATTAGTTCCACTTGTTGACTTTTAAAATCTTGTTATTCTTTCCATCATCTAGACCATTTTAGGTATAACAAAACAATTGTTTTCCTTCCATTTTTTTGTTTTAGGTACACTTATAAATTGTCTCTTCCAATTTTTGTGTGTTCTAGGCATACACACAAGCATACTCACCTGCACATTCACCCTTTAATGGATTACCTCCCCACCCCCCCATTAAAATATCCACATGTTGCTCTCCTCTTCATTTCCCCAACCGATCATTGGCTATTTTTAAAGGACATTAGGAGAGGAGAGGAATGGAATGAATGTAACACTTCCTAACTATATGTTCTTTCTTTCTGTCTGAGGAAAAGTCAACTAATTATGCAAGTAGCATGCAATAATTCTGATGGCTTTGTTAAACAGAGTAGGATTTATAGGATGTTAGTTCTAAGAAAATGGTAGAAGTGAGTCAAACCTAATGTTAAAATTAAAATACACTTCTGAGCTTTGGAAATATTTTAGAAATAATTTATTACAGGGAAGCTTTAGTATATAAAATTACATAAAATGAATAAAAGTTGACACTTGGAGTTCTGCAAAGTATGAGATAATGTTTTATGAATATCCTTTCATAATATTTTGGCTTCAATATATAATAAAGCTTATAATGCAAGAATCAAGAAATTTGGTATTAGTTTGGCAAAGCCTATAATGCAAAATCAAATTTCAATTGTGTATTAGTTTTCTATTGCAGCATAACAAATTACAAAAATGATTTGATGGTTTAAAACAATACATATTTATTATCTCATAGATTCTGTTGGTCATCAGTGCAGGCATGACTTGGGTGGGTTCTTGGTATTGGATCTCACAAAGCCGTGATCCAGATGCCTGCCAGCACTACAGTCTCATCTAAGACTCAGGGTTCCCTTCCAAGTTCACTGGTTATTGGCAGAATTCAGTTTCTTGTGGTTATAGTGCTGAAGTCCTCAGCTCATATAGAGGGCCTGTTGTTTCTTACTATGTGATCCTCTCCACAGTAAGTCAGTTTACCTCTTAAAAGCCAACATAATAGGTCTTTGTTCCTTAAAGCTTCTTACCCTGATACCCTCTTTTAAAAAGCTTACTTGATTACAAAAGGCTCATCTAAGGTAGTCTTTCTTTAATTAACTTAAAGTTGATTTTGATGAGGGACTTTAACGGTATCTGCAAATTCACTTCATTTTTATGAAGTTAATATAAGCTAATAAGTTAATCACAGGAGTGGTTCCATAATGTTCACACCCACATTCAGTTATACAGTGTGTACACCAGTGGATGGGAATCTTGGGGGCCATAATTGCATTCTATATACCATGCACAGGTTCACACGCACTGCTTGTAAGAGAATATTATCATATTTTATTTATATTATTTGATTCTTAGGTGAGCTTCCTGGTTATCTCTCAGTTCCAATTTCTTGAATTCATTCTGAGTTTTTAATATGTTTGAAGAAAAAAATAAAGTTGATGTGTCACCTATCCTTTCTAAAGTTTAAGGGAAACTTTTAAACTCTTGTTACATTATATAATATTATATTAGAGGCTCCATGCATGAAATTCGTGGACTCAGGAAGGAGTCCTCTCAGTCCGGCCTACACCCTCTAGTAGTCTGGGAGCCCTCAGGGGATGTCTGACTGCTAGCTTAGGTCCACTCCCCACAACTGCTGCTGTGCTACCACCAGAGGGCAGATCCTGCAGTGAGCGTCTGCCCTCTCGTGGTCAGTGCATGTCATAGCCACCAGTTGGTCTAACGTTCAGTTGATTTGCATATTAACCTTTTATTATATATGGTGTATTGTCTATCCATAATATATACCTATATATACATTTACACATTGTGTGTGTGTGTGTGTGTGTGTGTGTGTGTGTGTGTGTGTGTTTAATGAATGTGTGTTTCTCTTAGAATCTTGTGGTCACAAGAAATTTAAAAAACTCAATTTTAATATATTAAAATATTTTAGAAAATTATAATGGGGCAAGGAATAAAAGACTCTCCAACATAAAAGAAAATGAATTCCATTAGAATAACATTTTAGGGTAAAGTGGAATGGATAGATGATTGAAGGAGAAAAAGAACTTGATGCACATTTTAATAAGAAACAGGTAGGTATCAAATCCCTGCGGTATTTATAGTCTATGAAATCCATTTAAAATTATATGAAATTTTTTTTGTCTAAAAAATGTCAATAGGTGTGCTAGAAATCACATATTTTGTACTATTTAAACTTACCATAAAAAATAAAGAGGCCAACTTAAAAACATAAGAGGAAATATGAATAATTTTTCAAAATTCCTTTAGTAACAGGAGAAAAAAAAAAAGAACATTGGAAGACCATTGATCTTAAAGAATTACTATACATTCCAAGTATTTGGCATGGAGAGGGTTGAGGAAGGAGGCAGGCGGGCCTGATACACTCTGATTTTAACAGGCCAATTAGAAATAAAGAGAAATGTGAACTAAGGCAGTAAGTTGTGAGAATAATAGGGTGAGGGAGGATGTGAACAATACCAAGTAGGTATAATGTCCAGGATAAAAACAAATTGGATGTAGTGGGAGATAATGTAGGGATTGAGAAATGTCTAAAATATATCCTTTATCAATGGGTAGATGATGAATATTTGAGAAAGTTAAAATTTTGAAGAGAAAGGTAAGTTTAACTTTGCTTATAATGAAATACAGGTGATGGATGTGTGTGCTCATAGCACATCTAAGTTCAGTTTTCTCTGAAGCTCATACAAAGTCATGAGCAATTACTAGTGGAAGTAAAAGCCTTGGACATAACAGCAATTCCAGGGAATACATGGAGAACACAAAGAGGTTGTCTGTCTCTTTTCTATAGGGTTTATTTAATAAGTATTTACAGAGCAGATCAGATATGCCAAATGCTTTTTAGATTCTCAGGATGTAAAAGTGAACAAAATAGACCAAGACTGCTGATAAAACTGCAATTTCAGAGCGTGAGCACGAACTAGTGAAGTGAAAGCTGACATTGCCTTGACATTAGGATATCCACCTTTCCGAGCCAAGGACTGAATACTGCTCAGTTACTTTCATATGTTAAAAAGCTGAATGAACCACACATATGTTGTCACTTTGCTCCCAACCTTCTAATCTTACTACCAGTGAATCACTGAAAGTGAAGAATGAGCTTTGCTGGTCACCTGACCAGTGTGAGCCAGGGTGGTCCAGGATAGGCCTTCCCAGTCTTCCTTCACACCACTTCCTCAGGACAGGTTATCTACCCATCGACAGCAGCCCCACATATTCTAGCAATATCATGTTTAACAGATTGCCGGGGATATGAACTTTTAAAACATTGCAAATATGTAAGATAGAAGGGCCTATATCATGCCTAAATGAAGTACTGATTTTTCTTATCTTTTTTTTTCCTATAATAACTTTATATTCTGATAAACAGTTTGTTCACTCTTTTAAAGGAAGAAATAATAATATTTGTTGGCACTAATTGTATTTTTCTGAACTGAACTTGAACAGTTCTCTGGCAATTGAAAAACTGTTGTGGTTGATGTCCCTCAGGAACTCTCATTGATTATTTAAATCAGTTGTTAACAGACTTCTTGCTATCTCTAACCTCATGTACTACCACATTTCTCTCCAGGCTCTTCGTTCTATCCAGAATAGTTTCCTTCTTATACCTCATTATTTTCCATATGGTCATAATAGTTCCTTCACCTCTGCCATTTCCTCTGCCTTGAACAATTTCATCTTCCTCCACGAGTTTAAAGTTCAACGCAGTTATCATTTCTTCATTCAGTGTCCTTGAGTTGGTCAAATCCTTTATATATATTTATAGCATCATCAACCTCTCTTTCCATGTACTTTTTAGAATCCAGTTTTTATACTTATTTTTGAAA